TCATTCACGTTTTCCTCTTTTATTCATCCGTATTAGATTTTTTTGCTCTGCTATTTGGATGCTGCATTTCTCATCTCACTGGATACGACTCTACCGCTGCTGATTATTGATTCATCTGATGGTCATGGTCAAGAAGAAAGGTAATTGAGTGTGTGTGTTTTGGCGAGAGTTACTGACCATCTTTAAATCTCAATGTGGTCACAATGCACGCTTTTAAGAGTAAATAGTCACTTCTATACATTTCAAGAGGTTTATCAGAAGTGAATCTTGAGGATCACATGCTGTTCTTCATCTGCAGAGATGCTGGATTGATCCCACCTCTTATTTAAGGTGATTGTGATGCTGTATTGGCTCAACACATGTTGATGATCTTAGTTTATGTCCAGGTTGCACCGTGTGCTATCTGAATCACAGGAACTGTTATATAAGAGAAAGAGTCGTACCTGTCAGGTCTGCAGGTTATTGGATCAGAGCTGTCGGTCAGTTATTTGTGGGATTGTTTAATCTGAGTTTGTGGCACATCTCCGTTGTTTCGGCAGTGTTGCAGTTTTAAATGGGATGCAGAAGCGTGAGGTAGACACGCGCAGACCGCAGCCGTCGCCATAGCAACACTCACAGGAAGGTAGAGGCCATTGTTGTGTCTCGCCTGCAGTGGCCTCTTTCGCTTTTAGGGTGTCTCTTTAAAGACGTCTCATCCCTGCTGCAGTTCATCTGCAGAGACGCAGTGTTTAGGTTCATTTCCAGCACTGACTAATGAATATAAATGGAACATTTATTACAGTCTTGTTTTAATACTGCAGAGGGAAGACTGCAAGTGTAAAATTTATATTTGTATGCATCCACACTCTCAGAAAAAAAGGTACAAAAGCTGTCACTGGGGCGCTACCTTTTCAAAAGGTACACTTTTGTACCTTTTAGATACTAAGATGTACACTTTGGATACTAATATGAACCTTTAAGGTACCAACATGGACTCTTTAGGTACAAAGTTGCGCCTTTTGAAAAGGTACCACCCCAGTGACAACTTTTGTACCTTTTTTTCTGAGAGTTCACATGTAGGTACACTTGATTTAAAAATGTACCAAGTTAATTATTTTAAGATTTGTCCTTATAGATTTATATCCTTATAGACTTCTGTTATTGATTTATTTGAGAATATATTTAGCTCTTTCCTTTTAAATAATCAAAATCAAAAGTAATTTGATAATATGTAATAATGTGATACTACAGTATTGGGTTGCTGGCATAAAAATGTCTAAAAAGTGCCAAGGATTTCTATTTTTATACATAAAGGGACAAGCAAACACTGCTAAAATTGTCATATAAAATCACCATGTAAAAGTAAGATATTTTTTTATAATAAAATACTATTTTTTTTTATTTTGTTTTTATTTTTATTTTGCACTTGGTGCCCATGGTGGCATTTAATTTGGTTAGTTTCTACCAAGTTTGATACACAACAAACAAAACATCTCCACTCTTATATAGCCTAATCAGCAGTAATTATAATAAGCATAATTATAAGCAGTCATTATTATATATTTTTTGTTTGTTTTTTGAAGGTTGTATTAAATTGATCAAAAAATTACAGTAAAGACATTTATAATGTATAATGTAAAATATTTCTCTTTTAAATAAATGCTGTTCTTTCAACATTGCTAATCATCAAATCAGCAAATTAGAATGATTGATTGAGGATGATGTGACACTGAAGACTGGAGTAATGATGCTGAAAATTCAGTTTACAGGATTAAATTAGATTTTAAATTAGATTTAAATAGAAATAAGCTATTTCTCAGTACTGCTGTTTTTTTATAGTATTTTGATCAAATAAATATATAGCCGTGGTGAGCATAAGAGATTTTTTTTTTTCAAAAACATAAAAAATTCTTACCAAAAAAAGTTTGAAGGGTAGTGTACTTTGGAATTTAAGGCCCAAAAACATGGTAAATTTAATGTTAATGCCATGGTATTTTTGTCCAAATTCTAAGGAATTGCATGTACCCTTCATGAGAAGCCAATCCTATAAAGAACTGTACTGAGCTTGCAGGGAAGCAAATAAATATAAAATGATAGATGAATCTGGACAAATGTTGTAAGTATTGATAAAAATGTACTCCATCTTTGTGTATTCTGTGTATTTCTCTAGTTACTAGAGTATTGTGTTGTTAGCTTAGCAACATGCTAGTGCAAAACTCTTTTGAAATGAATTGCATTCCCTATCATACACCAATCTCGATTCATCCCAGTGAAGGCAGCTGTCTGTAGTGAGTAGAGCGAGTCAGTCGGGCTGTAGTGTCTGTGATGCTGATGTAATATCAGTAATGCTGTGCTCTCAGAGCTAGAGGTTAACTCTTCTGACCAGCCCACTTAATCTTGTGCCACTTCTGAGCTTAATCAGCATAAATGCCTGCTTGTGTGGAGGAAGTGTTCTATAAAGCTTCACTAAGAGTTTGGATGAAGTACTTGAAGTACAGTAGCTGTCATCTACTCTCCTGTATTATTGCTACTAAGCATGTGGGACCCATCAGTGCAGTTTTTTACATTAGTGAGTCATTTATATGGCTTGTAGACTGTAAGAATGGTTATACGACAGAAATAAGCTTGCAATTGTGAGATATAAAGTCACAGTTACTTTTTTTATTGATTTTTTACAGGCTTCCATAAGGACCTGGTTCATATCTAGAGACCAGAATATCTATGTGTAAATTATAAGATGACCTGTTTTTTGGGAACGCACACTGGATCGTCACATTTTCACTTCCAAAAATTATACATTTAACAATATTTTACTGTAAAATTACATTAGGTCAACTACAGTTTTTCACCATACAGCATAAGGGAACTACTGTTAACAGTTTTTTTTTCCCTGGTAGAATTTTAGGAGTCTTTTTAAGAAATTATTACTTTTTATTCGCAAGGATACATTAAATTGATCAAAAGTGGCAGTAAAGACATTTATAATGTTGCAAAAGATTTCTATTTCAAATAAAGGATGTTCTTTTGAACTTTCTATTCATCAAAGAATCCTGAAAAAAAGTTACTTGTTTCCCTAAACCAGAGCAGATGTTTTTAACATAAATAATAAGACTTGTTTAATAATAAAAAATTTACATGTAATTTTACAGTAAAATACTGTGAAATGTTCAGTTTGAGGAAGTAAAAAACAAAAACAAACAAAAAACAAGTTGTTTATACTTCACAGTGAAAACTGTAAATTGATGTTCCCAGAATTCTCATTAGAGTACATTAGGGTTGGATGTTAATGACATTTTTTAAACTGTAAATTTAGGTACAGTCTGTAAAACTTAAAATGTTGCTACTGTATTTTTTACAGTTAACTACTGGTTCTTTCACTTTTTTCACCATATAGGGTAAGGGATCTTATCGTTAACCAATTAATAGTTTTTATATTTATAATTTTTACAGTCTTTTACCATGAAATATTATGACATTTTTTACAGTGTATTCTGTAATTAATATATATATATATATATATATATATATATATGAAATTTAGGTCACTTCTACACTGTCCTACTAATATAGTCAAATAAATAAATAAAAGAAATACCCTAGCAACATCCACAACACCATAGCATCTTGTCAGTGAATTTTGCATGAGCAAGCACCACTCAAATCTTGTTTTAATCTCATAAAAGCAAGGAAACAATTGAGACTGGTTCATTTACATTTTATCTCACTGTACTTGTTCCCCTTTTTCATGTTTTTAAATGCAATTTCATTGATATTTTCATGAATACTGAATATGTTTGGAGGATAATGGTGCTTTAGCTCTGGCAGTGAGAGATACGGCTCTGATCCCACTTTCCAGTGCTTTGTTTGGCCTGGGACCGGAGGGTGGAGAGTGTGTGGAAAGGGGGCAGGGAAAGAGAGTCGCCTCATAAATATGTATGAAAAAAGTCTGCGTCTGCGAAATGAATGTCCCACGAGACTCGTACAATCCAGCACACATGCACTGGTGCCCTTGTCTGTCTGTGTTTGATGCTCGACACTCCGGGACAGAATCAGTCGCTCCTCCTGGATTAGTGTAGACTCAGCTGAGAGAGGGAATGGTACGTTAGAATGGAGTACACTTAAAAATAAAGCCTCCAAATGGGGGTTTTCACCATAAGAAGAACCATTTGGTTTCCCCAAATAACCTTTCAGTGAACAGTTCTTAAAAATGACCACTTTTTTCTATAGTGTCAAGAGCATTTTAACAATATGAAAACTTTTCCACTATAAGGAACATTTTGTGGAATGGAAAGACTTCTTCATGAAACCATCAATGCCAATGCAGAACCTTGACAAATAGAGGATCACTATAGTAGAGGATGTTTTGGATACGTATATGTCTCAATGCACAATTGATATTTAGGTTTTGTGGACATCTGAGGTGATGTGGTATTTTTGAAAGGGATATTTGATGGTACAGGATCTGCTGTATGGATTTTATTGGAGGCAGAGACATGCATTTATACAGTCTTGTGACCTTTTTATGTTTTCAGCACTGTTTGCAATTTGATTTCAAAGGTGCAGTGATACTTGTTTTGTTTAGACATACACTACTATCCAGAAGTTTGTGGTAAGATTTTTTTAAATGTTACAGATGTGCTGCTTATTTTTGTTGGAAACCAACCATAATACACTTTATTTTTCAGGATTCTTTGATGAATAGAAAGTTCCAAAGAACAACATATTTTTATGTAAATGTGTATATTTTTTAAACATTATAAATGTCTTCACTTCACTTTTCATAATTTTAATGCATCCTTTCCACAAAAAAAAAAAAAAAACCTCTGACCTTAAACCTTGCACAGAAGTGTACTTAAGCTTGGCTTTGTAATACAGGCCAAAGTGGACTATGTTAATGAATGGAATATTGTATTTCACATGCAGTAGCTCTGCACAAGCATCTCATATTCCACACATACTTGCGCTATTGCTCTGTAAGTACTAGTACAGACAATGACACATTTTGTGTTCTTTCTGTACAGTGGCCCATACACAGGAAGCTCACCACCAGACGGAGAAGCCTTTGATACGCTGTGCTAAATGTGAGGAGGTGTGCAAGGGAGAGGTGTTACGAGTGCAGGCCAAACACTTCCACATCAAGTGCTTCACATGCAAAGGTGAGTGAATGAATGTCTTATGCACATATACAAACTGTCAGTCCCTATTACATATATTGGAGATATTGAGTGCCATGAAGCCAAATGCTGAATGAGGAAGAGATGTAAATTAGAATTATGATATGTGCGAAATATTCAGAGACCGAATCTATTAGTCTTTAGAAAAGGAGAGGTATATACTGGACTTTTCCTGTTGTCTATTTTGTAGCTCTTAAACTGAAAGCACAACAATCTAATAACATGTCTGGGTCATATTTTACCATGCACAAAATCAAAAGAAAAGCATAAGAAATTAATTTTCTTTTCATTTTACTGAACAATGTTAAGTAGACAGTTTTTGACAGTTTTTGTGCATTTGGTTGCATATTCAAAGTGAAATCCTCCCTGTCTGAGATTCTGTAAGTTCTGGTTTGCTGAGTTTTTCCTATAAATGTTTCTGAAGGCTGTCTTAACACCTCTTGTGTGCGTCTCCTATGACTCATCTCTCCTGCAAGAATTCAGGATCACTGTGTTACTATTATAGATGAGCTCCAGCTTGACCTGTTTAGCATGTGTTTCTCAGAATCTAGTGTTAATATAGCATTACCTCTCTATGGACAGGTGAGGTTACCAACAACAGTGAGTCACAATTTACATGGCAGTAGACAACATGAACTTTATTTTATTTATAATTCATTTAAACATTGTAATTATTATATTTTATTACAGGGTTAAGTTGTTGAATGATACAATGAACAACTAGAACGTACAGTATACACTCTTTATGTACATTTTAACCTAAAATCTTTATATTAACAAAAATGTAATAAGTATATTTTATTAACTTGTTTTTTTATTCATTTATGGACTACTGAAATCATTGTTTAATGCTAATTTCAAATCATAAGGCTCATATGACTTTGAAATATACATATTTTTAACATAACTTTTTTCTGTTTTTTTTTTGTTTTTTTAAGACAAGGGTTATTATGTGACATTACTGACATAGTGTCTGATTTACCACGTCACTCAGGGTCATTATAGTAATCCCACCAAATCCATCTGCTTTTAACAAAACACTCAAGATTATGCTGACTATTTTGTCAGCAACCCTTGAGTCACGTATAGTCCTGGATATAATACAGTCCTACATTGCGAAGTAAATCCTGTCATGCCTGAGCTGTGATCCAATTAACCCAGAGACTTTCCCTCTGTCCCGCTGTCCCACTTCAGTTAGAGAGAGCAGCATTATGATGTAAGATCTGCGCTGTGAGAACCAGTAAAGCTGACTGACACAGTCACATCTAATATGTGGCGCGTGACAATTTTTGGGGATTGATTAATGGAAGGAGCCTTGTACATATATACACTACAGGTCAAAGTTTGTACATTTTTGTTGTTCACATTTTAGATTAATCGTCATCAAAACTATGAAATAACACAATATAGAATTTATGTAGTGATCAGAATTGAAGTACAGATGTATGCTGGACAGTTCCTGCACTGCTCCATCTCAAATAAAATAAAATAAAATTGAAGTTTTCTACAAAACTAATTTGCAATAATATGTGTGTGTATGTGTGTGTGTGTGTGTATATATATATATACAGGTGCATCTCAATAAATTAGAATGTCGTGGAAAAGTTCATTTATTTCAGTAATATAAGAAGCTTTAGCCTGTTTCAGGCACCGACTTTCAACATGAAATATGTTTCTTATTTTTTTCACTGTAATATTAGAAATATTAAGGGAATAAATGAAAACAGTTAAATATATATATATATATAATTTTTATTTGATTATTTTACAGTCACAGGGCTAAATTATACGTTGAAACATGACTTTGATAAATACTTTCTTTCTGTCACACTGAAGGTGTTTTTGGGGAACACTTTTAAAAAGTTACTTTTAAAAATAGTGTATCACTTAAATAATTGCTTTACTTAAAAAGTAACATATTACATATATGGAAATTTTTAGCACTAAGCAGCCTGATTTGTCATCGTTTGTTGGTTTTGTTGTGCTTTTTAGCTTCAGCTAGACAGAAAGATCTCAGATATACGGTATGTTGAATATTTAATACCTCACCCAGCCCTTTTTTCCTCACACAGGACTGAGTTCATGCCATTCTCTGACCTCACTAGCCTCTAAATAAATCACAGACAGAGACAAAATGACATTGACTGAGGAAAAGATAGAAAGAGTGACTCAGCAGGCCTATTTTTGAACTAGGGATTTAACAGTTCTTAAATTATAAATGTGCAAGGTGAGAATGAGAATGAGATATTAAACTCTTTTGTGCCAACTCTTGATCAGACTACACAGAAACTGGAGTTGAATTTGAACATGACCTGTAGTAATCTGAGCAGATAATCAGTGTAAGAGCTAATCATCTAATTTGTGTTCAACACCCTCAGGGATTATGCCATCCTTACTGTAAATCTGTGTAATAATAATCATCTTATCTAATCATCTAATCATTTCAGAGCAGACTAAAGACGACTAGATCATTATTTTCTGTGTTTGTAGGCACACAACCTGCTTTACTTCCATAATGTGACGAATTATGTACAATAAGACCCATGTGTATTAAAGGAATGGTTTACCCAAAATGAAAATTTGCTTAAAATTTGACTCACCTTTAGGCCATTCAAGATGTCGATGTGTTTGTTTTTATAATCAGAACAGATTTGGAGAAATTTAGCGTTACATCACTAATGGATCACACCAATGGATCCTCTGCAGTGAATGGGTGCCGTCAGAATGAGAGCCCAAACAGCTGATAAAAACATCACAATAATCCACAAGTAGTCCATACGACTCCAGTCCATCAATTAACATCTTGTGAAGGGAAAAGCTGCATGTTTGTAAGAAAAAATACATCATTAAGGCATTTTAACTTTACACTGTCACTTCTGACAAAAATGCGAGTTCATAATCCATAATATTGTTTTCTCCAGTGAAAAAAAAATCCATCCCCTGTTATTCTCTAACACCAAAATCCACCAAAATATTTGTTTAGAACAGTTTTGGACTGTTTTCACTTGTAAATGGTGCTTGATCTTTGTATATTCTTTTCTCCTTATTCAGAAGATACTTTTTCACTGGAGAAAGCAAAATTATGGAGAGGGAGGAAATTAAAAATGTATTTATCTTTTCTTTTTTTTTGCTTTTTTTCTTCACAAGATGTTAAGTAATGTACTGGAGTCGTATGGATTACTTGTGGATTATTGTGATGTTTTTATCAGCTGTTTGGACTCTGATTCTGACGGCACCCATTCACTGCAGAGGATCCATTGGTGAGCAAGTGATGGAATGCTACATTTCTCCAAATCTGTTCAGATGATGAAACAAATTCATCTTCATCTTGGATGGCCTGAGGGTGAGTAAACTTTCAGAAAATGTTCATTTTGAGGTGAACTAATCCTTTAAGAAAGTGTTTTTTGAAGAACAAAAGACATATTTATTACACATACTGGTAAAAAAAATTTATAGCCTGAATGCACTGTAAGTCACTTTGGATAAAAGTGTCTGCTAAATGCATAAATTATTATTAAATTATATTTAAGCATTTTAAATATTTTTTAATGCATGAACATTTCAGTTTTCCAATTGCATATCTATTTTTAAGAGTTTATATTTAGAAAATGTTTACATCATTCTTAAATTTCTTAAAACACATACAAATGCATGTAATTTTAAAGTTAAAACTAAAACTATGAGCTCAGAATGAAATGAATAAAAGTTTAAAATCTGAATCTTGAAGTTAATTAATTCTTTTGTGTCTGGGTCGTCCAGAGATGGAAGTCGGCTTGTAGGAAATGTGTCTGTCTGTGAGTCCATTTCTTATTCATTTATTCATCAGATCAAATGATTCAGTGATGATTTCCACATTTTCAAAGGACATGCTGTCATATTGTTTATTCCCTAGTAGACTGATATTGTTGTGGTGCGTTTTTTGGTTCAGGTTAACTTAGGGATGCTGGGATGAATATTTTTGTGTCTTTTTTTGCTCTTAGACCCTTTTACTTGTGTTAAAGTTGCATTAAATACACTTTTCCATAGTAAATAGTATGTTATTCAATTATAGTATTAAAATAATACATGTAATTTGCATATTTATAATTCATATTTCTCTCACATGATCTGTGAAACTACCATGGGTTTGAGTTGTCCTCATACAGCCCCTGCAAAAGTTTCTCAGTGCAAAAACTCATTGTAGAAGGTGTAGAAGGCTATGAGAAACACTGGAGTCAGTTACATAACAGCACTGCAGAGCTCTCCTGCATACTACAGTACGTACACATTGTTCACGTCTATTATACTTCCACTTGCTTGTTCTCTCTGTAAATCTCACACGCTGCAATAGTCACGGCCTCGAGTCTCCCCACAGGGACCCAGAATGAGGTGCGGAAAGCCATGAAAGATGGTTACATATCAGTATTGTTTTTGTGTTAGTGTTTTGGAAAACCAGACTCCAAACAGAAAGTGGCCAAAGGAGCTCTTAAGAGCTTAAAATGAAACACAATGAGCTCTAAATATGTTTCAGATATAGCCTGTTGGTTCAGATTAGACATTTCAAGGTTTTCTGACTATTATGTTTTCTCAAGATCATGGTCTGGCCATTGTCCTCCACTGAGGTTTGTTTTTACAGTTGCTATTTCTTGTGCGCCAATTATGCTGCATTATCCTGTTACAAGAACAGAAATGCATGATAAAGAAAACATTATATCCTTTGCAAAATCAAGGTTTACCCCCAAGTTTTTGTCATAATTTGTTCACCGGCTGTTGTTCCAAATCTTTGTGACTTTTTTTTACAAAATATTTTTGAAAAATGAGTTAGGACTGGGGCTATATTGAGCTCCAACATGACTGGGCTATATAGCTAAAATATATAAATAAATAAATATATATAGAGAGATGCAGTGGGCATCATTAAGATATATCTCTATATTTATGTACTTTGATCTTTGTGCACTGAACCAGCTTAAAAGCGTGCTTTTTATTAATTTATAGAAACCATAATTTTGGCTAAACAGCAATTGCATTCAAAAGTTTTCATGTAAGAAATAAAATACTCTGTATGCTCTGAATATTTTACCTATATTTTGGTTAAAATATTCAGGGCATATTTTTCAAATTGCAGTATATAGTTCAGTACTGTATATCAGTATACAGTAATAAACAGCAGTATTTACTTACATATATTTTAATTAAACATTTTATTGCAACAAAAAATGCCACACGTGAACTTAAGTAAACAATTTTGATCAATACTGCACACTATTCAAATTCACATTTATTTCCTCTGCCATTTTGGCTACTGAAGTTTAAATCAGAGATGCAAATAAAGTGAGACTAGTCACTGGATATTGGTAGGGACATGTCCCTAGCATCCCTACTAAATTCTACACCCTTGTAACATTTTGATCATAATTCATAAAAAGCATGCATTTGTTTGTGTTTTGCTTTAGTATGTGGATGCGATCTGGCTCAGGGAGGATTCTTCATGAAGAATGGAGAATATCTGTGCACTCTGGACTACCAGCGTATCCACGGCACCCTCTGTAACATCTGTGGAGAGTTTGTGGAAGGGGAGGTGGTGACTGCGCTCGGCAAGACCTACCACCCAACATGCTTTGTGTGCACAATCTGCAAGTAAGAGCCTATGGACACTCACACACACACACACACACACACACAACCTAATAAGAATGAGATGCACTCCTCCAAACTAAAGGTCTGAATAGGTCTCATTAATTTACTTGCCATCCCTGAGAAAAGTTTTATTACTTAGATCTTTCTCATTCATAGCTCAAGACACTCTTTGTTTACATTTCATTTAAATATCATTTAACTTTACGTTTAGGTGTTTCTCACAAATATTGTGGACACCATTCTTCAAGTAAGAGCCTATGGGCACTCACAAACACACACTCACACACACACACACACCAATCTTCAAGTGAGAGCCTATGGACACACACACACACACACACACACACACACACACACCATTCTTCAAGTAAGAGCCTATGGACACTCACACACACACACATACACACACACACACACCAATCTTCAAGTAAGAGCCTATGGACACTCACACACACACACATACACACACACACACACCAATCTTCAAGTAAGAGCCTATGGACACTCACACACACACACATACACACACACACACACCAATCTTCAAGTAAGAGCCTATGGACACTCACACACACACACATACACACACACACACACCAATCTTCAAGTAAGAGCCTATGGACACTCACACACACACACATACACACACACACACACCAATCTTCAAGTAAGAGCCTATGGACACTCACACACACACACATACACACACACACACACCAATCTTCAAGTAAGAGCCTATGGACACTCACACACACACACATACACACACACACACACCAATCTTCAAGTAAGAGCCTATGGACACACACACACAGGACATTATACAGTCATTGTCATTGTGGTTTATGGTAAGTCCAACACTGAGAGGAGATTTAACAGGGATCGTATATTTTCTGACCTACAGGAGACCATTTCCTGCTGGAGACAGAGTTACGTTCAATGGCAAGGACTGTCTGTGTCAGTACTGCTCAGAGCCCATGTCTCCAGGACCCACCAAAGATGTTGTGGGACCCAGCAGTGAGTGCAGGAACCGCACATCTAAACCTCCATATGAGTTAATGTAACATAACCGCTCAAGTTCAAATTGTCAGGGTCATATTTCAACCCAAAATCTAGATAAAATAACTAGTTTTATTCATGACAATTAAAAGCATTTCCAACCAGATTAATAAAAAGCTCATTCCCATTAGTAAACTATGTAAATAAGTATTTATACATTTGCTATGCTACCTTGATTTTTGCACCTTTTTTGACTTTTTGAATACATTGCATTTACTATATATTTATATTGAATATAATTATTTGAAATTGTATATATATTTTACATTTTTTTATTATTTTTAATATATATATATATATGTGTGTGTGTGTGTGTGTGTGTGCGTGCGTGTTTTTTATATAATCATATATGCTGCATTTATTTGACCAAAAAGACAGTAAATCAGTAAGAAATTAAACACATTTCCAGCCAAATCAACAAAAAGATAATTTCCATTAGTGAAATGTGAGAAAATGTTATATTATTTAAAATGTAAAAATTTTTACACATCATGGTAGAATTTGTTATGCTACCTTGAATTGTTGCATTATTTATGAATTCATTAGCTCCAACATTTAGAGATATTTAAAGGGTTAGTTCACCCAAAAATGAAAATTAGCCCATAAAGGACTCGCCCTCAAGTCATCCTAGGTGTATATGACTTTCTTCTTTCAGACGAATCCAGTCGGAGTTATATTAAAAATGGTCTTTGATCTTTCAAGCTGTTTAATGCCACTTAGCGGGTGTTGCATGCATCAGTCCAAAAGAAGTTCAATAAAAAGCACCCATCCATACAAAAAGTGTCTCACACGGCTCCGGTGGTTGAACAAAGGCCTCCTGCAGCGAATCGATGCGTTTTTGTAAGAAAAATATCCATATTCAAAACGTAATAATCACTTTAATCTAGCTTGCGCCAACAGTTGTACACAGAAGCAGTTCCGGGAGCATGAC